TTTCAAATTAAATTTGAACATTTGTTTAACATTTATATAAAAAAAATTGTGAAATATCATTTGAATTTATTACATACTAGAGTTTAAAAGTATAATTTTTGTATTAAAGTATAACTAATGTGTGTGTTTGTATCACGGTTATGCAAAAATTAAAAAAATTTTTAACTAAATTAGGTGATATATTGATGATAGAAAAATTTGGATTGAAAATTTCCTCATATCCTTGCCTCTTCGAATTCGAAATATTTAATTCAAAGTAAAAGTCATACCATAAATATTAAATAATCATTTTTACGTAAAGAAATATTCCAACTTCATTAAATTTACAATTTAAAACAGTAACCTAGAGAAGATGTAGAGTGATATAGAAGGTGATATATTGTAATATATAATGATAATATTTCGGATAAAGAAACAAAATTGAAGCGACAAATTTTGAATAACAATTACATGCCACTTATAAATTAATGAATAAACATTGAATTTCACTTTATAATTAAAAAGTTTTTTGATTTCAAATTATTTCATTAAATAGAAGTAATATTAAAATTAAAATTTATGTATTTCATTTGGATGAATTCATTATACTAAGAATTATCTACTAGGGATAGACAACATTGTCCATGTAAATTCAAAATAGCATCAACAAATTATTAAAAATCTGTCCTTTCAAAATAATATATTATTCTATTCCATTGTCATTGTGACTTTCGATACTTATGAAATACTACAATAGAAGATGTCATTATACGTTACGAAAAAATTCGTCAAAATTCTTTTCACCAATTATAGTAGGCTCTGACAACAAAGCACACATGCGCAAACCAAATACCAATTTACTCTTGTCATTGATTTGAAATGCCGTATTTGTCAAAAAGTAGTGTATAAAAAAGGTAATGGGATAAGAAGTTGAATTATGTGCTGGCATACTCGTTGTTTTGCTTTCTTTTTGCATTTGGTTCCTTTTATTGCATTGTCGACTTTAAAAATTCACGCTTATTATCAGTTATTAGTTTTTCCGTCCTCTAAGCTGAACAAAGAGTCACGTGTGTCAAGAAAACGTGATTTGTGTCTAATTGCCCCATACTTTTCCATCCTTATTCTTAACTGCTCTACCTAACGACGTTTTGATTACTAATTGCACTTTTTTACAGACTTGCCTCTTGCATTCTCTATTTTCATGTTCATTTATCAAGAATTTCGATAGTATTGCAGATAATCTAACTCCGATCTATCTACCGTTCCTTGTCAATCCTTAATTACTGATCTTATTACCGTGCACATTCGGTATCTACGGTTCTAATTCTCACGCTACTTTATGATCTTGCGTCTAATCAAAATTCGAATTCATATCGAATCTTTTCCGTTATAAATACATTTGGTTTAATCTAGAATACTATATTTTTGAAAATAATTACTTTTATATTTACTATTTAAATATTTATAAACATTTTTAATTAACAAAGCTTATTTATACTTTTTAATATTCTATATTTTTATTCAAAATTAATGAAAATATTACATCTTACCTAACTAAAATATATAAATTAAAAATACATGCTGTGTCAAATAATAAAAACTTTTTAATATTACTTTTAATATCTTTATCGATTTTTGAATAATTCTTTATGATCGTCCTTATATAATTTCCATTATATTTTTTTCTTCGAAAATTACAACACAGAAAAATTACAACTTTACGATATTAATGTCAATTTATAGTTCAATGTCAATATAAAGTTTTGGCTTAATCATAAAAAATCGTAAGAGTTTTGCTTAAAATTTCATCTAAATCTATTATTAAAACTTCTTAAATACTAAAGTTTATTCAATTTGAGATATAAACAAGCAAAGAAACGCTTCCTTTAAACTTCGAAAAAGTTGAAATAGCTTATTTACAAAGTTTTAAAAATGCTGATTCATATTTTATGTCAGACATATAAAATAATTGATAATAAAGAATTAATTTGTAAATCATTATAATTACTTTTTATAAATTTAATGATTTTTCCTATTCCTGAAATATATATTATTATTAAGCGATTAATGTTTTCACAATATATCTTTGCTAATCATTATAATAAATGAAAAGTTAAAATTTATTGAAGAAGAAATCATAGTACATTTAATTTTCAAAATAATTACTGCGTAAGGAGTAGCATGATTTTACGAGTTAGATCTAAATAAAATTGTTGTTACATATATAATTTATACCAAAGTATAAACGAATGGAAGATCGAGACTAACTCGCAACTATCAATAATCGGTATGAATATTTAATACTTGATTAAGGAAACATTTACATTATTAGCATTAAAGAAAACATGTAGTAACGGTATTTTGAAAGCATCGCTATAAGATTTATTATATGTTATACAGAATAAATAATATGGCACAATATGAGAAACACCGATATTAATGAATTATTTTAAGTTTACGTGCGTATATGTGCACACATTGATCTAGCTGAATAAATGATCGATAATTTAAACGCAAATGCTTGATATACAAATTAGAAGGCTTCATTCTTATGTAATGCATAACATAAATATTTTTTTACTAAGATTACATTAATAACTTGATTAAATATATTAATAGAGTTATGTTATTAATAGTATAATAATTGTCTATAATAATAATAATAATAATAATAATAATATTATTATTATTATTATTATTATTATTATAGACAATTATTATACTATTCAAATGTTTTAAATAATTTTATTAGAACATAAATTATGAAAAATAAATAACATTTTTGAGACAATATTTTGAGACAAAATTTCAAATTTCAATCAAACAAATAATACAAATACTTTTTTGTCTCAAGAAAAGAACATCATTGTTAAATAAAATACTAATAAAACAATAAACTATATACAGAACACAAATAGTAAGAAAATGGTTTTAATTTTTCAGTGAATTCAACATCTTTATCTACAGTAACTGTATTTTATTATCAACTATTATTATTGACTAATTTTTTATTAAAACCCACTAAAACTTTCTTATAATGCCTGCTTTATTCTTTTTACAATAATTATATTACATGTTTTTATAAATAATTTTTACGTTCAACATACCATTAATTTAGTTATAAAGTATTTATTTGGTAACGAAATTAAAATGCGCATAACGCTTATGAAATCAAAAGAATTTCAAATCTTACTTTACATCTAATCTCTTACAAATTTTCTATTTTTAAAAAGTCATTTTATCTGCTTCCAATGAGTAGATCGACATTTTAAAATTACTTACATTTATGAATGAACAATTTTCTTATATAAGAGATAAGGTTACCTTTTAAAGTCCTTGATACTTTACTATTGAATATGTCGAAATTATCTCATACATGATTTAAAATTATAAATAAAACTATTAAATCAGTTTTAACAAAATAGTTTTAACAAAAATATTTGAGGATAAGACTGTATCGTATTTTAATACAAAATTCTATTTCATTGCGGTACAACTACATTTAATGATTAATTTAAATGAAATGAAAGTATGTAGCATTTGTCATCAACGGTATTGAATATTTAATACGAAAAAGATGCATTCATCGTTTATAAAATGTCGTATGGAGCACAATACTTAACAGAAGCGAGCCAATAGCCTGTCATACCGTAGTGCAACGCAGTACTGGAGCAATTATTTCTAAATACGAGGAAGTAGAGAGAGTTCAGGGATCTTTGGCTGGGAGGTCTGGTCAGCTCTACACCAGCTGAGATGTAGTTTCTTGATAAAGTTCAGCGCGCCAATATCGATTTTATAATCGTAAAACGAGGTCACGCTATTTATTATATAGGCGATACAGTGTTCTTTTCTTCTATCCTCCGCCGCCCTTCTCTCTCTCTCTCTCTCTCTCTCTCTCTCTCTCTCTATCTCTATCTCTATCTCTCTCACCGTCTGTCAAACAAGCTTTATACTTAATTTACCTAATGATACTTTGTTTAACTTTATTGAGCTACTACTTGGCTAATAGTTCTAATAATTAGTTAATTAAATCGCAATCTCATCAAATATGAATTGTTGGAATTTATTTTTAAACGAAAGTTTTGTTATCAGTAAAAATTATTGAAAAATAATTGGAGTTCCTAAACTTGGAAATTTTTATTGATACACTAGTGAATGTCAGCAGATACAAATATTAAACTTTAATAAATTTTAAACAAAGTTTCGTACTTTAGTTCAACATTTTGCTTACTTAATTTGAAAGTTTATGAAAATCAAGAATAACTTTTCTCATATTTTTACTATTCACGTGATTTTCATTTATATAAAAATATATATTTTTAACTTATTTTTAAAATTATAAGTAATTTGATTCGTTAATAATTATATTGGACATTTATTGTTAATTTAATTGAATAAATATAATTTATTAATAAATATATCGAAAGTTTATATACATTTTAAGATAAATGATTGAAAGAATCTTGATAAATGAAATAACAATCATTATTTTTTGCAATCGTGGAACTTTTTTCATAAAACAAAACAAATTTTTTTTTATAAACTTATATTTAAAGCATTATAGAATAAGTTCAATCATTACGCAAAAATTTAGCCACATCTCATTATTAAAAGATTTAAACAATTTTAACGCATCATTTAGGCTTTCAATTTTAATAATATATTAAATTTACATTTTTCTTACCAAAGAAAAACAAGGGATTTTCGTTAAGAAAACCGAGGCGTTAGATTTTTTACAAATAATTAATTAAGCATTAGTTAGTTAAAAATTAATAAATTTTAAAATTTGAATGAAATAGCAAATGTAAATAAAAATATTTGAGGGACGCGCAAGTATGCGTCAAAATTAATATCCTTCAATTGTAAGGACAAATAAGAATATCCAGCAATATACCACGAGAGAGCAGAACTTGCGATATTCTCATAAACTCGATTATAGTGCTAATATAATTTTGCTATCTTAATGTTACTATTTAGCATTTTTCCAAATCGTTAAACTAAGTATTTAATTTTAATTCTAGAATGCAAATTGGGGAAGAATGGCTCAAGACGTGGATCTGTCTGAGCTTTCTCTTCGCCTGGGTACGTGCAGCACGTCCGCGTTTCGATGTCTCAACAGACATGGGGATGGTCCTGGTTCCCGCGGATGCCGAAGTCGATACTGTTATTTTTCGGCTTCGTGCCACAGATCAAGACACCGACTTTCCCCTAATTTTCGAGATCATCGGTAATAATTAGAATATAAATATGTAAATACTGCGGAAAGGGGGCTTAAAGCGATATGGATGAATAAAGGTTTATTATCAATTGCTTATTAAACTCTTTTGAATATAGCATTAGTAAATAAATTAATAGTCAATATTTTTATTAACTCAGTAGGCTTAACTGCTTTTCAGTTGAAATTTGTTGAATTTCGTGTACGATTAAAATGATCAAACGATCTAGTGTCCAATAATAAAGATTATCCTCCAAGTCTTAGATAATTTATATATTCTAATATTAAATTAATTATTTGGAAAATTCTAAAAAAATTCTCGACTTACTATGTTTATTTACTTTTTTTATTGTTTTAAAAACAATATTTTTAATATCTTATAGACAATTTTGATTTCTAAAATTATGAAATATGCTAACTTATAAAATTTATAATAAATTAAGTAAATATTTTTAACAATTACGACAGTCATTTCTTTTATATCAACTTTAATTATTAATATCTATTGCAATTCTCGTACAATTTTATATTTTATAAGCCGACACTGTTACGTTTTATTTTATTTTAATTACATAATAAATAAATAAAGATACAATTATACTATCAATTAAATTCAACTAATCAACCATTATTCATTATAAAAAAAAAAAATTTGTAAATGAAGAAAATATGTATACAAATACAAACTAAAAGTAAAATAAAGATATAATGAATAAAATTATATATTTCGATTTTATGCGAATTTATAAATGAATAATATGCTTAATATTATTGCTTATTTAAAATAACTAAAATAATTTCCTGAATATTATTTTATTTCACTTATAAAAAATATTTAATATTTTATGAAGCCAATTGCTTGGACGATTCGTTAAATAAATTTAACAATTACTTATTTTGAACAGTATATAGTCGTATTTTTATATAATATTAAATTGATATTATTTTCCTTGCACTTTTTATGCTGTTAAAATGCAAATCTATTAAAAAATCTAAAATGTGAATATTATAAAATAGAGTATATAATATATGGAATAAATTATGGAAAATAATTCTATTTAAAATGTAATAATTTCCAATAGTATTACTTTAATGTTTGATTAAATTAAGATTAAACTTGTCTTACTTATTTATAATTAATGAAAAGTTTTTACATTTCGTATCGGTAAATTTATATATTTTAATTTAACGATAGAGAAGATTATCGCTCGTGGAAATGAAATTATATTAATTAATGATTAAATTATAATGGTTATTTAAGAGAGTACTTAGCTTTTATTATCCATATATGATTATGACATACTAAGGCAATGACAAAGTGGAATTTATTAATATTGTAGCCAAAGATAGTAAAGACACAAGCTTATTAAAGTTAAATTTTATTATCCTTAATAATACAGTTGCTCTATACATTTAAAAATCAACCAGTAATGTAATTACATCTTTATATAATGAAATATATAATATATTTTCATAATGAAATTTACCTAATTGTGTTACAAAGTCCATTTACTCGGAATTCCGTGAATTCATGTATGAGCTCATTATCATAACAATAAAATATATATGTTTGTTAGAATGTCTCTGAAAAGTCTATAATCTAAAGCTTAAGAAAATCAATTAGAACTATTTTTAAACTTTAATACATAATCATTAAAAAGCATATAGTATTTTGAATATATTGTTATAATTCCTAAAAAATGATATATCAGGAAGTAAATATATTAAGGCTTAAATGTATATTATTGTAGACAATTTGTGACAATTATGTAGACAATTTGTAATACAAAAACTTGATAATTACATTGTAATTGATAATTTGTTTACTTATTATCTTTGTAAATGACAATATATTTATTACGCATAATGTCTATTATTTTTATTTAATAAGCTTATTTCAAATTAAAGAAATTTATTGATAATAACGTAGAGTTTGTGAGAATTATAATGATCAATTAATAATAAATCAATGAAAATGTTATTGAAAAATACGTATCAAACAAGTTTATAAAACAGTCCGTAATAAAATTGTCCTTTATTTTGTATCTAAATAAAGGTAAAGCCCCTAAATTTACAATTACTTGAAAATGTCGAACATGGCTGAGTAAAAAAGTGAGCGAGAGAGTTAGATGTGGCAACGGTCGTACGGTTTCCGCTTACGTGTAAAATAAAATTAGCGTGGGAGTATGGGGAGACAGGGGGCGATAAGTAAGTATGAAAACAAATTTGATTCACAGCGACAACCTCACCGATCGTACGCGTGGAAAATCTGCCCTGCACCCTATACAACAAGGTCTGCCAGGCGAACGTCATCCTGACGCGACGCCTCGTGGCAGGTAGACTCCACGACTTCGTGGTGAGGGTGAGGGATTCGAAAGGTGACGTTAATTCGATGCAGGCCACGATCTCCGTCACCAATTCGACCACGCCCCGCGACAAGATCTTCCCTCATGTACCGTCCTTGATTATGGTGCCGGAGGTGATGAAGCGATAGGAGCATTAGTTTACTTATTGTTGATTAATGACTTACTTTTGCATGGAGATTCTATTTTTTTTTTCACCACTAATCCGCGGATAAAAAAAAATTACTCTGCCGTAACTGCAACTCTTTAGATACGCAGACTACTTTTCAAGCATGCGATTATGTACACGACTGTTACGCTGATTTATGTTGGATGTGTTCATTCGCTCGATTTTTCATGAGAAAATTATACGCACAGCATGAGAAATCTACTTATCTATCGTTTAATTTGAACTATTTGAATGCCATTTGTCAAGTTTAATTTAATCATAATATTAGTACAATTTTTAGAGAACCTTACGTGTTCACCTTAAATATCAAGAATTTTGCTATTTAAGGATACGAAACCGGAAAAGGAGCTAGATTACCTTCTCGTTGAATCGAATCCATGGAGCGGAAAACCAGTATATATAGAGCTATGGGTAGGCAAAACTTTTATAACTATTAATGTCATATGTTTATATTTGTAACGATAAATTATAAATGTATTATGGTATACAGTCGTAGGATACTACATTCTCTTAAAAAAGTATTCTACAATATAAATATTATACTCACCTGTAATAGTTATAAATGGTAAAATATCTTTTTCTAGCAACCGAAAGAATTATTCAAAATTAGACAAAGGCAGATGGGAAGTCAAACAAAAGGAATAATCACTCTTATAGGAGAATTAGATTTTGAAACTCAGTCAATGTATACTCTCACCATGTATGCTACGGTAAACTATAATCGTCTTTATTAAAATGACTTAATAATAATTAGTTTAAATAATTTAAGTTGAAATAAATTGCAAAGGATTCATTAATCGAGATTATACGCAAATAATTCGAAATTAATTTTTCTCAATTAAAACAAAAATTGAATCGTTTTACGAGGAAAATATATATCTTTTTTCTATGACATAATATGAATATTAATACTTACTTAAAATTCTTTTATTTCAATAATTTTAATAAACTAATGCTTGCTTGTAATAAAATGAGTTGCATTTGTTAGAAATGTATTTTCGTAATATTTAACGAAAAGATAAAATATATTGTAATATTGATTATAAGTTTTTACATAAAGTTTTTTGCCTTACTAAAAGAATTGTGATATTTCCCGCAGATTATACATCTATTTGCGTTTAACGTAAATATTTAATGGATAAATGTTCGTTTGAATGTGATATCGTTTAATAGTGATTGCCGATTGATTGGATATGCCTCATCATATGCAGTATGTCTAAATGGCACCTCTTAAACATTATATTTTCTTAAGGATAATTATTATTACACAGGATCCATATACACAACCGGGCAAGGACACACGTAACATTGCGGGTCTCCATGTCGTCGTAATAGTTCAAGATGTGCAGGATGTGCCGCCAGTTTTTACACTGGCACCGCCCTTAACTAAAATTAACAATTCCATAAAATCTGTACGTGTTTGAAAATTAGTTTCTCGAATGTTGAATTTTTTGCAAACTTTCATCGGCTTTCATTCCCTTTATGATTTGATAATAGGGTGACCTGATTTTGCGAGTACACGCCGAAGACGGCGATAAAGGAGTTCCAAGGGAAGTCACGTATGGCCTCATCTCGGAAGGCAATCCATTCACGCCGTTTTTTAATGTTTCCGAGACCACAGGTGATATTAATATAACGATGCATCCATTAAATTGCTTTGATTTTTCATAAAGCTAGTACGAATGATTTTCAAATACAATAGTCGTTAAAATTACGTTAGTCGTGCGGTAAAAATTTAAATAAGCTTATAAATGTTCACCAAAGTCCTTGATCAATGTGATATTTTTGGAATAGCTTCACTCGAAATATATTTAAGGTTGTACTGATTCAAATAATAGAATGCTTACATCATACGGATTTATACGAAGATTTCACATATAGCTATTAAAATATAGCTTTCTTACATTCGTTTATATTTTAATTATTGCTTTATTAAATATTTCATGCATTCAATGTTCATGAACGTCAACCAATCTCTTTACGCGATTCTAAATTGATATCGCCTCTTACACTGTGCAAGTTATGGGTAACGAAAGTATGTCGAATTAAAGAATAATACCAGAGTTTATATAATTAAAATAGCTTTTTAACAACCTATAGACAATAAAAGTGCAATTAGAATTCTTGAAAAGAGTTCACTTAGCGCCTCGCGACTAAGCAATAAATACACATAGCTAATAGGAGCGGAAATCGAACAAAGTATGCAACACCAAAAGCAAACATTAACGAAAGTTTTGCCTATAGTGATTCAACCTATCCCTCCCTCCAGCCCCCCTCCATCCCCCACCCCCACCCCCACTTCGATTAAAGCTCAAGATTCGGTGGAGTCGCCAAGCAAGCGATTCCGAACTCTGCTCCCTCGACGCCTGTAATATCGATCGAGGCTCGCGGCGCCACTACTCCTCGGCCGATAGCTATCGCCATCCTTGGAAGGCGCCGTTCTCGCTCTCCGGGATACCGCGAAGAAATCAGATTGACCATATAAAATCATGCGATGTCCTCGTGCGTTTCTTCATTATGCCACAGCTCCTATAGCCTATATTCGTTTTTTTACGCGACCCCAGATGGGCGGATGCGGCGAACGATCTTTGCAACATGCAGTCTGTCCGAGTGCAGACTGTCGTTTACGGTACCTCATTATGCGCCTGTCCAATATATTTTTTTATTGCTTCATTTAGATTTTAGTCGATTCTTCATGTCGTAGGGAATGGTAGTAATAAATGGGGATTTATCGTTTAATGGAGGATTTTCGTAGCCTCGCACGATCGAACTCTAATACACATTATTTGAATGACGAATGAACGTTTCGTTAAATACTTTTTTAAATGTCTCACTTTTCAAACAATCAATATCGATTTTATTAGACTTAATCAATTAATTACATGCTAAATAACCAAATATATATAGTATTGTTTAGTAGTAAGCCTTTAAATTTAGATTAAGTGGACAATTTTTACGCCTATAATACTTTAATCCTGATCTTAATATACGAGTAAATAAATACATTAATAGCTGAAATATATTTTTATAAAAATTTTCTTAAAATTTCTCAAAATCAATATTATAGTATTATTTATTTGCGTAATATTAAAAAAAAAAAAAAAAAAATTGAATGAAAGGATTAAATGCTTCGTTTAAATTGATAAATCCAATCTAGATGTCAGTTTGCCTTTCCAAATTTATAACTTTATTTTTCAATAAAATCATTTAAAAAAAAAAATAGATATTCTACTATTATTATATGCTAATTAAATGGAATTTATCAAATTAAAAACAACAACCAAATATAATCTCATAGCAGATAGAAAATGTGATTATAACTTCAATTAAAAAAGGAGTTGCGATATAAAAAAATATACACGAATATTCAGATTTTCAGTAGAGTTACAAAAGGTTGATTTCATTCTATATGCATATATAGCTTAGTATTAAAAATGAATATCTGGCTTTTATAGCACTCAGTGATTGTTCAAACAACCATAATAGTCAAAAGCTTGTAGATACCCCGTACGTTTTTTCTACCCCAATATGCGCAATCGCTGACTTATAATTACAAATGGACTTTGAAAGAAAGAAAATCGCGCCTATCGTACATTTGCGGCTATCATTCATCTGTAGCTTAAGTATCGTTCATGTTTTATTCATTCAAAAATGAGATATTAGACAGACATAAATGGAGAGAAATATAGTCAGAGCACAAATGGAAAATAAAAAAATTATTTCATTATCGTAATGACGTTACAAAACCGTCGGAGATTAATAGCATTTAGTGTATTCAAAGTGAAGGTTCGCATGTTTGAAAATATATTGTTAAAACGTGATGAGTTATTGATAAAAATTTAATGCGAATAAAATCAAATAGCATATAATGAGAGCTATATGAAATACAAATACAATTTTTTAAAACACCTCGCTACCTTCCAATTTATAAAATATCGTCTCAGCACAAAAATGAATCCGTCTTTCACAAATCTTTCGCAAACAAATCTTTCGAACGTAATTTAATTTTGTGTCTCACTATTCATTTAATTTAATTAATTAAGGAAATATAATTTTACCCATTCAACGTACCTTAATTCTATGTAGGTGAAATAATTCTTGTTAAACCACTTGAAGAGTTGACGAAAATTACGCACGTTGGTGCACCAATAGTACTGAAAATCGTTGCCGAAGAAATCCGATCTACGAGAGATGAACCACCAGCTCAGGCAACCGTAGTTGAGCTTGGACTTCTTCTAGGAGAGCCAGTAAATAGCCCACCATATTTTGAGAACGATAAGTTGGTACCTAATTTCTAAATTTAAAGTCCTTTTTTTTTTTATTATAGAAATAATTTTGAATTGAGCGGGGATCTTTTGACGCGAAAAAATTGCTTTGATAATTGACTCCCATAGTTATTAGAGTATAGTCATTCGTAAGAAACATTTACTTTTTTACAAAAATGAAAAAATAAAAAATCTCCCTTAAATAATATAACGAATACATTGTTGTTGAAATCTTGGCGCACTTAATGAAAATTAATATGGCTACAAATTTACGCGTTGTTAGTAATTTGAATTGTATTTTGCAAATTTTAATAGTTATATAGCACGGTTAAATGAAAATGCTGAGCCTGGAACAATGATTAATTTTTCCGATGATTATTCAACTCGAGTTAAAGATGAAGATATTGGCAAAGCAGGTGTATTTGCTTTGAAATTAGAAAACAATAATGGAACTTTTGAAATTAGTCCAACCGTAGCGGAAAGAAATGCGAATTTCTTTATAATGGTCCGCGATAATACCTTCATCGATTATGAAAAATCCACGACTCTTCGTTTTAAGGTAAATATCATGAATTCCGCATGTAATGCGCATTAATAGATTAATAAATAAATAATTATAAAGTAATTCGTGATTATTATATATTTAATAAAAATTTGTGCTCATAGATCGTAGCACAAGAAGTTGGGCCTGCGACTAATTTATCAACGTCCGTGCCAGTAACAATTTTCTTAAGTGATGTTAATGATAATAATCCCAGTTTTGATAGTCCAGTTTATAATGTAACATTATCGGAGAATACAAATGCTGGTACAAGAGTCGTGCAGGTAATGTTCCGTGAAATATTATCATATTATCAAAAATTACCATAGAGCTAAATCAGCAAGCTAAGTGTTATCAAAAATTTTTACATTGAATATTACTAATTAATAAGCAAAAAATAAGGATCGATAATAAAGACTCAAAGATAATTAAAATTCCGTAATTGCATTAAATGGCGATACAAATAATACAATAATACAATAATACAACAATCAGATACTATCATAAATAGCAATTCCAATTGGAATAAATATTGGAAAATCATTTGAATTCAGGTTCATGCGACGGACAAGGATACCGGAGACCTCGGCAAGATTCAATACACTAAGATCATAGGTGACGGGAGCGAAGCCTTCGTTATGAATCCGGAGAATGGAGTAGTGACGGTGTCGATGGGCACTGTTCTTGATCGGGAACTGACGCCAAGACTCGAATTGATTGTGGAAGCGAGGGATGAGGATGGGCGGGGCTTACGTGGTACCGCCACTCTAATTGTTAATATCCTGGACGTGAATGACAATCCGCCGCTTTTCGAAAAAGGAATCTATGAATTTTTGCTGAATTCCGAATTGACGAATTTCACTGCGCCTGCATTTATTAAAGTTTGTGCATATCAATGTAGTTTGTCATTATTATCAATCATTCATTATGTTCTCAATACTCGAATCACATTTTAATTTAATTTAATTATTTAACTGCTAATGAGCTGTTTTACAAATGATATTTACCAAAATAGAAATCCGAATTACAAATGCGACGAGGCTTAATACTTCAATATTAGAATTTTCTTGCATGACTAATTAACTGTCATCCGATAATCAACCTGCAAGTTTATCTTGGATTATTCATTATTATATTTAAAGAATTTAAATATTGTTAAAACATTTGTCCAATTGTCCAATAATAATTGTCCAATTATTTAATATTTTATTTTAATCTTATTATTATTATTTTAATATGTGCAGTGTGATACACTATAGTCATACATTTTTATATATAACATTTTCATATATTTATTTATAATTATTTTCATATTATTCATTAGTAATACTATATTTAATATAATAAATTATTTTTCATGATCAAACAACTTGCTTTGCACGCAACTTAAGCCAAATATGTTATATTATAATTACATTGTTTCAATATGTATTTTCACAATTCTTAGGCTCTGGATACCGATACCGAATCTCCCAATAATATAGTGCAATACGAAATTGTCCACGGTAATTACGAAAATAAGTTTCAATTAAACGAGATAACCGGGGAATTAATGGTTTGTGAAGGAATTAACAAATCCCGAAAAGTACGACAGAATAATAATGTGAATTTGACGTTAAATATGAGAAAGCAACTCAGAAAGCATGTCGATGCAGAAACTTTGGAAAATCAAGTGAATGTGTTCAAGCCAATGAATTCAACTTCAGAATTAGGTTTCCGTGAATATCGTCCATTAACCAACTTTACCCAGGAAGATTTGGACTTACAGAATCAGAATCGCTCAAGACGAGCTGAAGATAATAATCCTCTCTTCATCTTAACTGCAAGAGCTTATGATTTAGGTAACAATAACAATAATAACAATAATTTATTTTATATCGTGCGTATAATTTTTAAGCGTGCGTAGAAAATAATCATACGACCTTCTATAAATTACAGGTGTCCCACATCTCTCTACTACTACGCAAATTCGCATAATACAACCGATGTCCGCTTTCGCTCGTATCGTAATGTTCGTAATGCCAGGTGAAAATCCTGACCCAAGAAAAACTGCCGAAACTTTGGCAACGATCACCGGCAGTCGAGTTATTATTCAGGAAATCAAGCCATATATTTCCCAAATAAATCCTAGCAGCAGTTCGGATATAGGAAAAAGGTCTTTTTTTTTTTTTTTTTTTTTTTTTTTTTTTTTTTTGAAAGAAAAAAAGAAACGTTAAATATCTAAGAGCTGTATTTTGAACAATAGAATTTATTTTCGAATAATGAATAAAAATGTATGAATTTTTAATAAAATATTAATATTATAATATCTCATCAAATATTATAATTTTAGAAGCGTCGTTGTAGCTCGAGTAGAACAAAACGGTCCTGGCACATTGGTCGACGTAGACAAAATTCGAGCATCACTGACTGCAAACGGATTTGGTATAATTAGTGGAATGGATAATGTAGGAGCCGATAATATAGCTAGTCAAGCTACTAATGACAATACCAGTATTAGTTATACGGGGAGAAATAATACTAAAAATAACTCAATTATTGATTCGACCACCGAAGATGTTGTAAGTAATTGCTTTCAATATTATATTAAAATTATTACAAATTCAAACTATCATTCGTAATATTCTTTATATAAATTACCCTATTAGTAATTATAAACTCGAATAACCGTACTATTTTAGACAGTTTATAAAGCTGAAAATAAATTATTAACGTGGCTACTAGTTATATGTGGGTTACTACTTCTTGCTGCCATAATTACATTAATTATCTGCTGTATTTGTCCAAATTGTCCATTTTACATGGAACCACGTAAGCGACGAATCCATTCTTCTGAAACACTTCTAGTTCATTCGGATGGCAGACCTAAAAGACATTTACATCGTAAGCCTATGAAAGTGGCAGATGGTAATTTTTATACATCATTAAATACAATACTAATTGCAATACAAATGGAAAGTATTTGAAATAATGTTAGTTAAGAATCAAAACCGTCGCAATGAGCAATTTTCTGACGATATAAGATAGGATAAAAAATTTTTAATATTAATATTTCAAGCTTTGAATATTTTTAAAAATAAATAGTATAAATAATCAAGTTATAGTTCTTATTCATTATACGCTTAAATCTAATAATAGCAATGAAATAACTACTATACACAAAGAAATATATGTAAGCCATTTATAAATTTTTGTTTCTCAATTGTTACAAGCTTCGATTTATGGAAATATTGAACATTGGCTAGAATTCCATTGTAAAACATCGGTATATCAAAAACAGTAAACTACTGAATTTTCAAATACTTTAGCTAATCATAGCCCATATTATTACTCCGCAAAACGTAAATATTCATTCTCCACTTTTAATTTCTAATTATGCTACAATATATATTATAATATAAAATATATTTTATTATAATGAGTTTATTATACTGGTTAATTCATTTGTTGAATATAATAATACCATTATAACATTGCAATAATATTTATTCCAATACTACAATATATATAAAAACTTATAATTAATTTTAGCTTATAGATAAAGTGTTAAAAGGCGATATACGTCATTAATAGTCATTAATAGAAACGTATGAATGAAAACGAAGACCAAAATTTTTTTTATTGCTAGCTTAAAAATAAATGTCATTCATATTAAATAATTTCGAAAGTAGATCCAATATTGAAAATTTCGAGACAAAAATCTAGCCATTACATTGCTATCGACCACATTGCTAATAACTAATAAATTAATTTTCAAAATCAACGAATCAATGATATCGATTAAACAATCGTGAATCGTCAGGATATTACGCGGAGCGCAAGGAGGCTTGGAGCGCAGACCCGGAACGTCACTACTGGCAGTTCAATCGGCGCAACACAAAAAATCTCGGGATCGCCTCCCTTCCCGGCGACATCGCGCCCGGCTATCGCAACCCCGAGATTGAGCGTCTACGTCGCGCGGCCTCCCTACGACTACGGGACGACGTATCCGCTAACCAGATCGCGCCGTTCACCGAGCAGGTGCTCCTGCGAACCCGTGCGACTACTCTTGCACCCCCAAGCGAGCGCATCTACGTGGAAGACGTGGAGACGGTAAATCGCGATTACGAGCAGGAGGAGCTCGAATCTTTCAGGAAACACGAGCTGGAACGTGACAGCATGGGAGTCCCGAGTAATGAGGCGATCCAACCAGGACACGAGAGACTGCGGGAGCAACACTTTTACAGGGATGGTAATGCCGAGGTGCTAAGGCTCATCACCAGAGGCGACATCGAGGATCATAAAAACTTTGCCGATGTAGCGGTACGAGAATCAATGATTTATTGTAGCCCTGATATGACGATCGCTTACTCTTCGTGCACGTGATAAGCGAATTGAATAATTGTCGTAATTCTGAGGAACGTTTGGAGCAAGGCTATTAAAACCGAACTGATGTTCATCAGTCACGAATGATAAAACAATTTAGAATAAAAGCCCAAACTAATTATTTGAGACGTATATCATGTGCAATTAAATGGAGCGATAAACCAATTTCACTAACTAAACTAATTCATCCACATTCATACGTATATTTCGCAAAATTTATTGATTTTTTTAATGAAGTCATTGATAATATTATACTCGAATGACGTTAAAAAATGAATACTATTAATATGATATGTAAAAAAGATGTTTAAAATGCCAAATAAACTTTTAAAGCCAATTATTAACTGTATAAAATTATATCATCACTGTTCAGCTTATGTAAATTTTATTTTCTTAATTCAAAAATATAACATAGTATTCTTTATTATGAAATTTGAAGAGAATATGAAAAGACAAAAGAATAATATCTCTATAGCTATTATAAATAAATCACATAAAATCTGATCTTCTCAATTATAAATTTAGTGTATAAATATATATGTCTGAAATAATTGTAAAATTTTCACTTTTATAATGTGCTAAGTTTTAATAACTAAACTTAACAATTATTATGAATATTTGGAATAAAAATAAAACTCACTTAAGATAATAATCACAAAATATATTCTAATTATAAATTAGCGAAATAAATATGTATATCTATCAAAATAAATATGTATAATGAGATAATTAGAAAACTATAAAATAATTAGTACGTGTAAAATTTTGCAGAATCTAGTAATAATTCGCTTTAGACAAAGAATATATTTTTTAGCCGTTAACATGTCATCATTTTCTCATTTAATAAAATTATTCTATTTATAGAAAATCTTTGTCTTCAATGTTGAGAATTAAATTCTGTAAATAGTGCTTTTAAAAATAAATAAATATCAGGCAATTCGCTTATTTAGAAGGAGCTACATCATACTAACGGAAAAGATATACTACTGCAACGATTTATCGCGGATCAAAAGCTTCGTCGTAGCCAGGATCTTCGTGACAGTTTCCAGGAAAGCTTTCACGAAGCTGATGTTGATCACAGTACAGGGTCACATCATCGAATCAATGAAACTACAGAGATTCTAATTTTGCCAGAAAGATTAGAGCTCCCACGCCAACTACATTATAATCAAGGACAGCATCAACGGGAACTCATGGTAGGGCATATGTTTGCAAATATGATGGTTATTGTTATTTTAAGAAATGTATAATTAAAGGTAAATTGGAATTATTATTTTACTTTGTGAAAATTACATTTTTGTAAATAACGTAAATTAAAATTCTGTCAATATCAAATTATAAGTCAAGTTTTACTTATAGAATGAAATCATTTACAAACTGTAAATATCATTTATTTTTATTACATTTATTTGAAATACGGTAACACATGCATATATTCATAAGTATAAAATTCAATGTTATTTTAAATTCTAATATTGCGACAAAGTTAGAATGTTTAGAAAGCATTCTATATAATTGTCGTGCAACTGATAAAAATAGATAGAAAATATTTTAACAATAAACTATCCAGTATATTTGATTTTATTTTTGAGAAGTCTTGTCTTCCTCTTAGTGAATTCTCGTGGAGCTATTATTTAGATTGGATGAGGTTAGAAAAGAATTGAACCAGATAACTTAAATTGTGTGCCATAATTGCAAGTCCCTTATACACACATTTAATCGTAATATACGTTTTAAATGCTTTTTATTAAATAAAAAATTCGATAAATAATAACGAATAAATGCTCCTATAGCTGAAAACGGACATTCAAAGGCTGATCGTCGGGCATAATTACAAATCCAAAGATTTCAATGATAATGGGAGCGACGAGTATCGAAGTCGAGGAGTCTTAAAGGCGTCAATGAGAGATGAGGAATTGGCAACCGGAGAGATGACAAAGGGTCCAGACAAAGCCGCGTACGTGATGCACGATGTCGAATTAGTTAGGCAAAATGCCCTGCTAACGAGACTCTTATTAGAGAAGGAAGCGAAGGGCTTGAATGTACCAATAATCGACAGCTCGAGTTTCCTCGAAACCCAAAGCCTTCCAGGTAATTCATATGTATTTGTACTTCGCAGAGTGTGTTTTAGTAAGCTAATGGCATATTTAAAAACTGACTATCCAGTACTTTTTGCATACTCGATTTTAGATTTGCTTGACAAATTTATTTGGCATTGTTATTAAAATATGTAATATCTTAAAAATTATTCTGCTTACGATAAAGCCGACGTTGCAATATTAAAATGCCCTATTTCAATATAAAGACATAGTCTCTTTTTTAAGAAAGAAAAAAAATTGCCATAAATAGAAATTGAAATCATTAATAAAATTTAAAATATATTTTTAACGAATTTTTGTACAGGGCATGTCGCAATAGCTACTCAAACGGACAGGACGACTGCAACGCAAACAGAATTTTTCGGTCGAAGTAGAAGCGACAACGAAGAACTCGAAGAGGATCAACGAATACGTCGAAAATCAAAGCAGAAAGAGCGAGTCGAAACAAAGGAGGATTTTAAGAAATTGAAGACAATTTGGGTCAGAACACCGATACCGGAGGAAATTCGAACTCAAAGCGGAAACAAAATAAGCACCCCTACGAGAACGAAAATTGAAGTGACGGAGAGCTGCAAAGTTTCGATTTCACCAGATGCCTTAAAAGAAATCTCTAGTTCACTAAAATCTAGCGAATCGGGCGGCAATGAAGAGGATGATGACGAAGTTTTAGGGAAAGGGACCAAAGTCAAGCCGGATTTAATGCAAAAAGTACATAAATTAACTTCGAAAGCAGTTTGTCTGAGTAAGAAGAAAGTAAAAGAAACAAAGGCAGACAACGACTCAACTACTGCTTCACCGGAAGTAAAGGAAAAAAATACGTTATTGAAAAGCAAAATTCGAAAGAAAATGGAAAAGACGCCAAAGTCAAAAAAGTTAGAAAAGAACATGGAATTTGAGAAGAATAACTTTATGGAACCGAGCTTTCGTATTTTAGAAAAAGAAATCAGTAGCTTCCAGAAAAAAATTCGAGAATTCGGCGATAAGAAATTAAAGATAATTAAAAGGGATAGCGATAAAACGGATAAAGAATGTAAATCCGACGATGGACCTGCTTATGACTTATCAAAAAAATGCGAAATTACTGTCAAGCAAATAAAAAAAAGTATATCAATGGAAAGCAGCCCGATTAAAATTTCTGTCGAACAAAAAGCTAAAAGTAGCGAAGAAGAAAATTTGATATTCGATAATAAAACTACTGATGAAAATAATCAAAATAATACTAGTTCAGATTTTGATGATTTTGAAAAAATAAATAAAGAGTGTACAAATTTAAATGCAAAAGTACTTCCGACAACGAAAGTACAAACAACTAGTCGCTCAAAATTAAAGAAGCAAATGCATTTGCGTAATTCCGATACACGATCTGAAAGTGAGAAAGTAGACAAATCAGATGATAGTGAAAATAAAATAGAGAAATTAAAAGATAGCTCGTCTTCCCTGGATATGAAAATGGATTCTACTTCTTGTTCATCAAAAGATTTCAGCAAACAGAAGCAAACCAACGCTCCGAAGAAGCAAAAGTCACAATCATTAGAGAAAAAAAGTATACGAAATCAAAGACTTACGACGAATCTTCTGAATCGACAATCAGGAATTGTTGAAATGAAAAAAAAAGTTCCCTCGTTAGAATCGAAAACTATCGAAGAATTACGAAAAAGAATGATGAAGAGAGATGAAAAGTTAGATATAAATAAAACGTCGACAAGCGACGATAGCAAAGCGACATCACCATCAAAAAGTAAATTATGTTTATATCATAAAAAATTAAATACATCAGACGAAAATCAAATTAAATTAAATAAAAAAGTTAACATATCAACAGCTGAAACATCAACAGTTGTAGATTTCGATAAATTAGTTGAAGAAGTAAATGACGCTGCGGAGAAAGAAATATCTTTACTTACTCAAGTAACACAAAAGATCATTAATGGTAAAAAAACTGATGATACTGTAACTAATAATCTCGTTGAGAAATCATTACACCCATTAGAATTAAAAGAAATTGATAAAATTCATGATACTATTATGAAAAATGGTCAAGAAATTGATATTTCTCCGAGTACTGATGAAACAACAATGTTAATGTCAGTGAAAAATAAAGATAGTGAAGAGAAAATTAATGATAAAACAGAAAAAACGAAGCTAATTGGAAGTATTTCGCCAGCACAAGTAAAATCTGATGACCAAATTTCTTTCATTGTAATGGATAAAAATAAAATTGCTTCAATTAATGGAAATGAGTTGGATAGCGGAAAGCATGATATGTTAAATGAAGATTTTAATAACTCAGAAACTGTCGAGCAGTATTTGAATAAAAATAATGAAAAATTTAAATCGAACGAGAATTTAAATGCAAGTAAATGTGATATTGAAAGCATAAATACAAAATCTAAAGAAAAAAGTATTGAAATTAAAAATATGATAATTGACAAAATTGATGATACAAAAATGATGGAAAGTGACAGAATTAATGAAAACGACATAATTATATCAAATAAAATTGATGAGCCATTTCAAATTATGTCTGATAGAATTACCGAAAAGACAAAAATTATGTCTGATGAGATTAAAACAACTGAAAAAAACGTAATAGATAATATCGATGAAATTAAAAAAAAAGTATTGAATCAAACGCGTGACATAAGAAATACGACTATTGATAAAATCGATGAGATTGTGCCTGATATAATTCATGAAATAAAGTTAGGTGAAATTAGTGAAACAAAAAAGAAAAGTCTACCTAATACAGTTAATGAAGCCGAAAATAGTATTAATGAAACTAGAAAAATGTTATCTCATACAATTAATAAAACTAAAGAAACTGTTACCGATAAAGTTGATGTAAATAAAATAACTTCATCCGATGAACTTGACGAAAGTAAAGAAATGAACACCCGTAATATTAAAGAGAATGTACAAATTATATCTGATAACATTGCTGAAAGTAAACAAACGATTACTGATAATGTAGAAGAAAATGAAAAAATTGTATCCCATACAATCGATACCATTAAACAGACCGTTACTGATAAAGTTCATGGGAATAAAAAACTTATATCCAATGAAATGGATGATATTAAGAAAATGACCAGCAATAAAGTTGATGAAAGTGTAAAAATTATATCTAATAAAATGACGGATATTGAAAAAATAATTGCAAATGAAATTGATGAAAGTGAAAAAACTATTGCCGATAAAATAGGTGAATATAAGAGTAGTGTATCCGGTAAAATTGATGATACCGTGATAAAGATAAATAATAGCGCTCAGAAAAATAAAATGATATCCGATGCCATTGATGAATCAAAAACAAACGTGTCAGATAAAATAGATAAAATGAAGAAGGAAAAAGCAAATATATCCGATAATATGAATAAAAAAGAAAGAATCGTGCTTGATAAAAAGGAGGAGTTGAGCAGAAAGATCGATGAAGTAAAGAGTGAAATGAGTGAAACGTCTTTAGAAAAAAAAGATGATTTCACTTTAAAATTAGAAAAAGAAGATACTACGATGATAAATATAGTCGATTCAGCGATTGATATTCCAAATGAAACGATTAGAAAGTGTCAGGATATTGAAAACAATACAGGGAATAGAAATTTAGAAAACGATTTGTTAAAATCAAAATCTGCATGTCTTCCAAACGAAAGAAAAGAAGAAGATGATGAAGTGGTGGAGGAGGAGAATGGGAAAAAATCAGAGGAGGATAATAACAAAGTGGATCTAAGCAAAATGAATAATGAGACGAAAGAATCTTGTAATATAATGGACAACGGTAAAATTAGTAATGAACCGCTTTCTATAGTGGATAAAAATATAATTAATGCTATAAGTAAAGAAGGAATCGACAATGGTAATATGAATGCTAGTTGCATGGTAGAGCAAGAGGAACCGTGCAAGGAAAAATCAATAAATGCTTTAACTGAAACGAAAGAGACGATAGACAACAAAATACACGAAGAAATTCCTAATAAAGAAGATTACATTTCCTCGAAGAAGTCAAACGAAGGTAATGAAATATCGTCTTTATCGTCAAGAGAAATGGCCGACTTACAGGGAACGAAGGAATTTGAAAGGCAACAAAAACACCAAACTGGCAATACAGAATTTATCTCAACAATCGTTTCAGATGGAGCTCGAGAGACAGTAATGGAGGCTTCGCAGATGAAACAGGGGCAAGATCATGTAAATGTAACTGAAAAAAAATCTACGAATAGTACGATTAAATGTAAGCCGATTGGGGAGAGTGACGATCGGAAACAAAAATCCAACTCGTTGAATGTGAAAAATAAAGAAGCGAATGGCTACTCGATTACGGTTTATCCCCAACACGCGAATGAGATAGAAAAAACGACCATCTCACTCGCTAATGCCAGCGTCTCAATCAAAGTAGACGGCGAAGAAAGCGACGACGATAATTCTTCCACTGCTACTGACATATCGAACAAGACAGCTTTACGCACGAAGCCCTCTCGGATGATATTGCAGACACTTCGGCACCGAGTTTTGAAAAAACTTCGAGTAGTGCAAAATCGAATGGAAAGACGAGGCAGAAATGGAATCCGGAAAGAGATAAAGATCCTCTTTTGCAAGTAACAGCGCAGCAGTCGAAAGAGTCTTTTGTAATAGGTTTCCCGCCCAAGACGGAGACGGTATTCGTGGATAAAGCCAAAATCTCGGCAAATAAGGCAGCGCTCGATGAGGCGAAAATGCAGAAATCCCATGCTAAAGACAGTAACGCGACTTCCAGATTGCTAAAGTCAGTCGAAAATGCGGAGGCCAAGGTAACGAAACTTAAACAACAACGTCGTTTATCGAAAAGCAAATTACGTTTGGCATTATAATTATTCGCTGCCGTTGGAATTGCACGAAGGACTTTATCCTTTCAACCTCAATAAACACTTTTCTTTCTTTTGTCCCAACTGCAATGCCTTGGCAATCTAAGGGCGCGTATTGTTATTATTACTTGTTAGTTATTCGAAAATGATGAAGAAAATTATTGCCCTTAAAGCACCTATATATATATATATATATAGGTGCTTTAAGGGCAATAATTTTCTTCATCATTTTCGAATAACTAACAAGTAATATATATATATATATATATTATTATTATTATTTTAAGAATGAAAGTAATATTTTATTAGCCGAGCACTGACTAAGTAAACTTATGATGGCAGACGTCGAGCTCGAGGCAACGCACGGACACACCGAAGACCCGACCCGTAATCGTCGGCGTAAAAAGAAAGGATCGGACGGAGAGAAGAGCTGTGCCAAGCCGCGGGAAAACCGAGGAGGAGGCCGAGTACGAGAAACCGCAGCGCCGGCAGAGTAATTGGGAGGCTCGCGGCAAAGCGGACGCGGAGCAGCGCAAAGCCGTGATCCGCTCGAGACACCCGAAGCTCCACGTGGGTCATCGAGCTTGGCAGCCGAAGAACGAGGCAAGAGTACCCGAGGAGAGGTGCACGAGTGATGTCGTCGCGGGTACGGCATCACCGAGCGGCGACTCGAAGGACGAGGGATTGCCGAGGAGGACCGATAATGGAAGGGAGCCAGAGATCGCGAAGGCCCGATCGCGATATATGGCCTGGTATCAGCAGAAGCGCTTCGAGATGGAGAGGAAGCGACGCGAAAGGAAGGAAGTCGAGGAGGATCAGATGAGGCCCCGTTGGCTGAGACCCGGACCCGGGACGAAGCCGCGCAAGGCCAAGTCGGCCGAGGATGCGGATCAGCGCGAGCTTCTTATAAAGGTGCCTATTACGTAATATTATGCACGGGCACATTTACCGGACACTCGTGTCTCCTCTTGTCGAAAGTTCGTTTATGGAAAGCGAAGCAGGAGCCTAGGATGTACTAGCAATTTAATTATAAAGTGAGGCTGCGTTGAATGAGTAGTGGCGCCTGCCTAGAAGTATCGTGAAAGAACATTCGGTGAATGCAACGTTTTTTACTTCTCGATGTGATTGTATATTTTGCATTTAAAGCAAACTTACGCGAGTCAGTGAGATTGATGAATGCTTTTAAAGGAAATAAAATTACGCGCAGGGCTTATCCTTTTGCAACAATACTGCGAATACACGCGTTCAAGCGACCTTGAGTATCCATTGCATTGTTCAATGCACGAGAATTGCATGAGTTAAGGCTCTCACCACCTCACAATAACGCATCTTCGTTAATTTAACATCTCGCTACTAATGAAATAACGTAGATTATTTTATCGAGTGGCTCTTCAATGTTGATTCAAATGCTTGTGCAATCGCTTAGAGTTAAGTGCCTCTAGTTAAGTAATATCTTGTAAACCGTATAAAGACGTCACTTTGAAGCTTATTGGAGCGCCACTCGAAAGTTCCGCTCCAATAGCAGATTCTCCAATATTCGTTTAATTTGCGATACGTCGTAAGCAGTCGATGGGTTGCCAATCGAGGGAAAGGGCGAAATCGTCCTCGGACGTGGTCCAGCCAACGTGTTTCAGCCGGGTCAGAGTCCGGCCTCTGGTGAACGTCGAGTCGGAGCAGTTGAAGGCGATCGTGCGCCAGGGCCGTAAGCTGCGCAAGGCCGAGGGTGTTAAGGAGGCGGAGCCGGAGGTGTTGATCTTCGCCCCGGAAAAGCCGCCTCGTATGGACCTGCCGTCGACGATTATTCAGCACGAGCCCCGGCATCACTTAACCCAGCACTCCGAATACAAATTCGAAAAAGAGGTGCCGGCGGTGCCGTTCTACTTGCATTCACCCCACGTATCTCAACCGACACAGGAGTTCTTTCAGGTGAGGGAGAAAACAGCAAGGAAATGAAAAGCCTTCGATCGCTCCGCCAACCTCGTCCTCCCATCTCCATGTCCTACCGACTTTTTATTCGGCTTACTCCTCCAAATGCGCCTGGCAAACTTCAATTATAAATTAAGTCCAATGGCTGACTGATCGATTATTAATCACCTCTAATTGGACTCGATGGGAATCGAGTTTTGTCGACCCGAAAGTTTTCGGTAGTTAAGAGCAAAAGATTTTCATTAACGCACTCGGAGCTCGTTTAATGCCCGTGACCATCCCATCAATCCTTTTACAACCATTGTCCGTTACGCGACATACGGTTCAACGTCTAAAGTCTTCGTTTTTAATATTTAAAATTCAAAAGCAAATTCCAATAGCGATATATATATATATATATATATATATATATATATATATATATTGCCATTAGCGTACTTTTGATAATGGAATTTAAAATTATAAGAAAAAAGTAAACTTCGCTCCACGCTATCCAAATACGTCGGATGCAGTTCTTTATTTTACGCTTTAATCAATAAATTGTCATCTCAAAAGTCTTTGAAAAACTCGTTTGCATAATTATCGGTGACTTATCTTGCTACGCGATGCCTTGCAATATTCATATAACGAACCGGCCCCCTTTAGTAGTCAACTCTCTCTCTCTCTCTCTCTCTCTCTCTCTCTCTCTCTCCCTCCCTATCTCGCTCACTCTACTCTGACGTCAAAGTAAGCTGAATCTGCCTCTCCGCATTTCAGGACAACTCCTCGGAAAGTCGACGATTGGAGGAGGACTTAGACTCGGGGATCGCGGTATCTATGCAGAGCGGAACGCGCCTCAGGCATC